CACAAACACACCAACGCAAAAGTTCGAATTCTGAGCATCGACTCATGCGGAGACGGCATCCTCGCCGCCCAGACTCTTCTATGTCTCCAATCCATTCTCCGGCTCAAATCCGGCAACCCGGTTGCTGACGCAGTAGAAAACGTACGGTGGGAACAATATGAATTCTCAGAAGAACTCAAGAGAGATATTTTATTTCAATCGTAAACTGAATAACAATGAATGTGCCCTCTTAAATAGGCTCTCCACCCTAATTTATTTAAGGCAATAAATATCCTAACATAGGAAATAAATAAAAGGGAATAAATAACAAGATAAATTACTAAATAACTAAATAGCTAAATACGAAGAGGATCAAACTTGTCCAAGTACGCCAATGCGATCTCGTCGCCATCATTCTCCCCGAGTTGGGGAGGATTCGCCCTCGAATCCTGAGGGATCTCGTCGTCCGAATTGTCGCCATGAAAAGGAACAAGGTGCTTGACGTTGAAAACGTCCGAAGTACGAATGTGAGAAGGAAGACGCAAACGGTAGGCGTTGGGGTTAATTTTCTGCAAGATTTCCAGAGGCCCAATCTTCCGAGCCGACAGCTTGTTATACTCATGAGCAGGAAACCGATCCCTAGTCAAAACAGCCCACACAAAATCGCCCTCCTCGAACTCCACATGGCGCCGACGGCGGTCAGCCTGCCGTTTGTACTCGCACGTGACCTGCTCAAGACGGGCTCGGGTCGCCTCATGCGTCCGGCGCAAGTCAGCCATCATGTCCTCGGCGCGGCGGTCAACATCACCTGGGGCCGGTAAAGCCAGTAAATCAGATGGGCCCCGCGGCTGCACGGAGTAGACGATCTGAAAAGGGGAGAAGCGGTCCACAACGACAAAGATGGAATCGAACCCGCGCTGAGTCCGAGGCAGTCCCACCACAAAATCCATGCTGACTGCACTCCAAGGCTGAGACGGGATCGGCAAAGGCCGATAGAGGCCCGCATTAGTCGACCCGCCCTTGGACACTTGGCAAATACGACAGCGTTCGACAAAACGAGACACGTCCCTCCTCAAGGAAGGCCAAAAATATGATCGATGGACCAACTCCACCGAACGGTCCCGCCCGAGGTGACCGGCACCATGCAAATCGCCCACCAGCTGCAGACGAAGACTGCTATCAGGGATACACAATCGTAGACCACGAAAAAGGAAGCCATCATGCAACACATAATCCTCAAACGGGCCCGAGGAAAGGCGGGCAACAATGGGTCCAAAGAAAGGATCAGAAGCATATAAGTCGCGAAGGACGTCAAAACCAACAACCTGCACCCGCATATCGGACAACAAGAGGGCACGTCGACTAAGTGCATCTGCCACGCGATTAGAAGCCCCCGAACGATGCTGGAGGACAAACGTGAACTGCTGTAAGAAGGAAGTCCACGTGGCATGGCGAGAAGAAATATTGTCCTGAGAAGCCAGATGACGAAGAGCCTCATGGTCGGAAAATAAAACGAACTCACGGTGGAAAAGATAGTGTCGCCAATGCTGGACATCACGATACACATCATAAAACTCCACGTCATAAGTACTATACCGAAGTCGCGGGCCTGACAACTTCTCACTAAAGAACGCGACCGGGCGAGACTCTTGACTCAGAACCGCCCCAATGCCGACCTTAGAAGCATCACAGGAAAGCTCAAAAGGACGACAAAAGTCAGGCAAGACCAAGACGGGTGCCGAAGTAAGACGCTCCTTGATCAGAGCAAAGGCCACGGCCGCCTGTGGCGTCCAAACGAAAGATTTTCCGGCAATACAGTCTGTGAACGGGTCCATGATGGAGCTAAAATGAGAGATGAATCGACGATAGAAGGAGGCGAGGCCATGAAAGCTACGTGCCTCGGTAACCGTCGTAGGCTCCGGCCAGTCCCGAATGGCGGCAATCTTCCCGGCGTCCACACGAATACCATCCGCTGAGATAACAAAGCCAAGAAAAAGAACCGAATCTACCAAGAACACACATTTGAGCGGTGCAGCATAAAAAGACTCAGCACGCAGAATAAGAAGTACCTCTCGCACGTGGTCCAAGTGTGCCTCCAAGGACCGACTGTAGATAAGAATGTCGTCGAAGTAAACGACCACACACTTACCGATATGATCCCGTAAAGCCTGGTTCATGACGCGCATAAAAGTGCTCGGAGCATTAGACAAACCAAACGGCATAACCAACCACTCATAAAGACCCTCGCGAATCTTGAAAGCCGTCTTCCATTCATCACCCGGCCGAACACGTATCTGATGATATCCACTCTGGAGATCAAGCTTGGTAAAAATGGTGGCTCCGTGCAATTGGTCCAAAAGATCGTCCAATCGAGGAATAGGGAAATGATAACGGACCGTAATCTTATTGATGGCTCGGCTGTCGACACACATACGCCAAGAACTGTCCTTCTTCGGGATCAAGAGGGCCGGAACAGCACAAGGACTGAGGCTACGACGGACCAACCCCTTCTGCAAAAGATCCTCGACTTGCTTACGTAACTCCTCATGCTCTGTCGGGCTCATACGGTAATGTGGGCGATTAGGAAGGACCGCTCCGGGCACCAAGTCAATTTGGTGCTGAATATCACGTAACGGAGGCAACCCGGGCGGTAACTCAGAAGGAAAGACATCAGCGAACTCCTCCAATAAAGGCCGAATGGCTGGCGGTATCGACTCACTGTCAGGGACCTCGGTATGCAAAAGTAAAAAGACAATGGGGGCATCACGCATCTCCGCCTCAAAAGCCGACCGCGAGAGGAATAACACCGGAGAAGCCGCCGTCTGAGGCAAAGGACGAGGAGGAGCTGACTGCAAAATCATCTTAACACCGTCAAATGTGAAAGTATAGGTGTTAAGACGACCATCATAAATAACCGACCGGTCAAAGAGCCAGGGGCGCCCGAACAGCAAGTGGCAGGCATCCATCGGGACAACGTCGCACCAAATCTGATCACGGTAAGATGCGCCAATAGAGAAAGAGACCAAGACCTGGCGGTTAACATTCACACCACTGCCACGGTTGATCCAAGCCAAAGTGTAGGGACGGGGGTGCGGCTCTGTCGTCAATCGAAGCTTAGACACTGCCTCCTCTGCCAAAACATTCTCACAAGACCCGGAGTCCACGATAAAGCGGCAAACACGATCACCAATAGTACAAGTGGACTCAAATAACTGATGTCGCTGGCCAGAAGAAACCGAATCGCCATGGGGAGACAAACAAGAACGTCGCAGCACAAGGCACGTGCCGACATCACCGCTATGAACCTCAACATTCTCCATCGGCTCCGTATCAAACACAGGAAGTCCCTCATAAGCGAGATGGTCATCATGCTCACCATCCCCGTCAACAAATAATTGACGGCCCCCAGTTGAACGAGGACACTCGGTTCGGCGATGGCCCACCTCGCCACAAGAAAAACAACGGAGGCCACCACCCGGGCGAGGCCCCACCTGTGCCGCAGTCGCGCCGGAGGACAGCCCCGAAGGCCCGGGACCCACGCGGCCGCCTGCCGTACCTGCTGCCGTCCCGGGAACCGTGGCAGGCTTCGTCTGGCCGGACGTCGAGGGGCTGAAACGGGTTACCGGAGAAAAACCAGCGGAAGGCCGACGTGAAAGTTGTTGCTCGGCCAGGAGAGCACGCTGGTGAGCATCTGAAAGAGTGACCGGCATGAACATGTTAACGGTATCCTGAATCGCAATACGAAGCCCGCTAATGTACCGGGAAATTAGTTGCACAGTGGTTTCCCGGCTATCAATACGGGTAAGCAATCTGTAAAACTCTTCAGTGTAATCATCAACCGAACGGTTGCCTTGACGAAGGGTTTGAAATTTTTGATACACAACACTGACGTAATTAAATGGTAAAAATTCCTCTTTTATATTCCTACGAAATTTAGCCCAAGAAGTAATAGGAGATTTACCCAAACGATGCCGCCGTTGTTCAAGCTGAATAAACCAAGCCGAAGCGCGGCCACGCAAGCGAGTCGCGGCCAGCCCTACGCGGCGGTCGGCCGGCACTTGCTTGAAATTGAGGGCTGTCTCCACCGCGCCAATCCAGTCCAGGAAGTCGCCGGCATCGAGACCACCGGAGAACTCCGGCAAATCGATACGAAAGCCGGCCTCCCAGCGCGAGTTCGCGCCCTCCGCTGCACGCCGGTGACCGCGGCCGTCGTCCTCGCTGTCCTCGCCACGGTCGTCGTCGTCCCAGCGCACACGTCGGTCACCGAAGGGGTTGAAATCCGACTGTGTGTCGTCGTCGCTATCATGGCCGGGAGACGAAGGTGGCGAGCGTCGACGGTGCGCTCCGTCGAAGCCCCTTCTGCCGTGTCCGCCTCGCGCCCCGCCGCGACCCGCCCGGCCTGCTGGGTCACGGTCCGCCGTCCCTTGCGCCATCAACATCCGCATAGCTTCCCGAATTTCATCGATCCCCTCCGCGAGACCTTCAACCCTACGATCAACCCGATCGATTTGAAACTCTAGATCATCCGTTCTTCGATCTAAGTCTTCCAAATGAGCATCTCGTCGGTCATTATCTAGTTTTGGCGGCATCTTGAATCGGTCTGACTCTGGATACCAACTGACGCAGTAGAAAACGTACGGTGGGAACAATATGAATTCTCAGAAGAACTCAAGAGAGATATTTTATTTCAATCGTAAACTGAATAACAATGAATGTTTTGCCCTCTTAAATAGGCTCTCCACCCTAATTTATTTAAGGCAATAAATATCCTAACATAGGAAATAAATAAAAGGGAATAAATAACAAGATAAATTACTAAATAACTAAATAGCTAAATACGAAGAGGATCAAACTTGTCCAAGTACGCCAATGCGATCTCGTCGCCATCAGTTGCCCACCTCGCTGATTTCTTCGACGTGGCTGCCGGCGCCGGCGCCGGAGGCATTCTTGTCGGGCTTCTCTTCACCCGATCCCCCAAAGACGGGCTGCCATTGTTCACTGCGGAGGAGTCTCTGAAATTCATGCTCGACAACCGCAAAAAACTACAGCCGGGCGGCGGTGGTGGTGGTCTCTTGCGTAGTTTGAGAGGAAAACGAAATGCTTTGCACAAAGTGCTGAACAATGTTTTTGAGGAGCTGACGCTGAAAGACTGCGCGGTGAAGTCTGTTTTGATACCGTGCTACGATCTGATGAGCGGCGCCCCGTTTCTGTTCTCACGTGCCGACGCTGTGGAGATGGCTGATTTCAGGATGGCGGCGGTTTGTGGGGCTACGGTGGCTGATGACAGAGCTGTGGAGCTGAGGTCAACGGATGGGAGGAAGAAGATGGTGGCCGTTGGTGGTGGGGTGGGCAATCCAACGGCTGCAGCTATAACACATGTGGTGAACAACAAGAAAGAGTTCCCAATGTGTCGGGGAGTTGAGGATCTGTTGGTGCTCTCACTAGGAAAAGGATTACCTGAAACATCATCATCACTTGAACAAGTTGCCGCTCACACAGCTGCTGACATGGTAATTAAATGAAATTATTAAGTTCAAACAATAAATACATACATACAGATAATTAAATCTTG